CGTCCAAGGCGGTGGAGTAGAGGTGCGCAGGCAGAGGGAGAACGCTGGGGCCCGGGTCATCCAGAAATCGAACGATGTACGAGCCGTCCTGATGAGCACCAATACGTCCTGTCCACCATAATCCGTCGCGGGCCTTGTACCACAGCCGCGCTCCCACTGGAAGGGGCGAAATGCTGAAGCGACGGAGCCAAGTCGCGTGAAGCACAAGGTCAGCCCCAGGAGGAAAATAGCGTTCGCCACGATTCCGGGCTAGCTCCCGTTGTGCCGCGCGTGTCCGAGCCACTCGATACGTGCGGTTACCCTGCTTGCTTTGGCAGACCTCTCGAGACCAGTACAAGAGGATGTGTCGACGGAATTGATCGAGGTCGGACTCCCGTTCCCAAGAAGGAGTAGTCAGGCCTAGCCAATGCGTCTGGTACAGGACAGCGAGAACGCCGCTACGGCCCCGCACCAATTGGTGTCCCGAAATGTAGTCGACCTCGAGGCGCCCGACAGGCACCGACACATCATCTGCGGTGACGTGAAACGGTGGACATTTATCGCCGAAAGAGTGCAGGACATAACGCGAAAGCTCAGCGGGTAGAGATTGGGGCAGGTCGTCCGTCTCGTATGGATTGCGACAGGGCTTGCAACGAAGGACAGATACGCGACATCGAGCTGCTGGGCCGGAAAGATCAGAAGGCAGGTCCAGGTAGAGGAGTTTACGCGCCAACGGGCTTCCATCTGGGGTGGCGTCGGCCGAAGCGGGACCCACCGCAAGAACTTTGTAAGGCCCCGTCCAGGAAAGCGCGAATTTGGCCTTGAGCACCTGGTGATCCGTGTCCTTATCAATGTGCTGTGTATATGTGAAAAATTCAGCTTCAGCTTCAGCCTTGCATTGGGACAGTGCTCGTATAGCCGACACGCGTGGGGAGAAAATTGGGCAAAGAATCGTTGATGTATGTATGTGTCTCGGGTGGATTTCATAGCTTCATAAAGCTGGGGTGTGAGTCACAAAACAACGTGAAGCGATTGATTTATTTAGTTGTTGGGAGTCCTCTTGGGGGGTCGGTGTGCACGCTGATTTCAGTCAAATGTCCGATTGAGGGGGGTCACAGGGGTTCGTTGCCGCCTTCCTTTGGGGTGAGTACGGCGTCTTTCTTACCGGGGACAAAAATGCTTTCGTTCAATAACATTCAATTCGTAGTGATCAAGTATTAGCAAGTCAGGTAAAGATTTTGGGCCGGGAGTTTTTTGGGGTTGGTGCCGGGTGTCGTCTCCAGAACACGGCAGCGCGGCACGAGGCAAAGTGGGGTTCTTGACGGCAGATGGTATGATGAAAAATTCTCTTGGAATTTGTGTGTGGTGGTTTGTGTCGGGGTTCTCGGGCCTGAAGGGTGGCTTGATCTCGTGGGGTTGAAAACGGGTCCCTGCTAAGGATAGATCGAATTCCATGGCTTTTTGAGTACTGCTGTTTTGCCATTTTCGAGAAGGACATGTGTTGGAGATTTTGTCGCCAGATAAGAGCGGCCGCGAGCGAGAACATACCAGTTTCAGCGTGGAAAATAGTACTTAATGCCAAATTCTCTCGGAGGAAATCATGACGTTGTGGATTACTTTTTGATCTCAGTGAAAATTTTCCACCATGTCAAAAGCAGTGTGGGGGAATGTGGTACGAAGTAGGTTCGTTTCGGGGGATGTTTGGGCTGTGTCCCCGGGTTGCGGCGCAATTGGCATGTTTGTCTTTGAATGTTGGGTAGCCGCGTTGCCGGGCACGAAGTCAGAAGAGAGAGTCTACCAGGGCAAGGAGCAGAAGGCGAGCTTGAGTGTCCGGTTACCAGTGCGTTGACAGAGTTCGAAGCGGTGGTTGGTTCCAGGAAGTGAGTGCAGGAGTTCGGTCGAGCAGCAGCAGTGTTGATCGGCTTGAGTTGAGTGCAGCAGCGAGCAGAATTAACGACGGAGTTTCCTCTTCAAAGCATCATCCATCATCCTCGGTCTTTGAGTCTTTGATCTATCATCCTCGGCGACATCCGTCCGAGACATAAAGCAACCCACTGACAAGAACCTCGAACCTAGCACAAGAACCGTTAGTGTAGAGCCACATCGCTCTGCATCGGATTGGTTGATCGGGTCATGAGCAGAACCCGTTATCCAAGTATCACAGTACCCCCCCCCCCCCTCCCCCGGTGATTGCGCCGCGTCTACCTGTCTCTGGCTGCTCTGGCGCTCTGGCCCGTGGCATCGCTCTCTTCCACACGGCTCGCCGACGACTTTGCGTTTCCGGCGTGAAGTAGCAATGACACCTGCCGCCGGAAAGACGGTTCTTTTCATGTTTTCGGCCCTGGCAACGCCAGCGACGAGCTTCTTGGTCACGTCCGCCCACCTTCGACTTCTTGCGAGCACGCGCATGTCTCCTCCTCTCCCAAGTGCAACCCTCGGTAAAGACTACAGAGTACAAGTTGCTACCTGAATAACATGAACGACACGCCGGAAACAAGAACTGCGTTGTTAGGAGAGTGTTTGGGTTTGTATCCCTAGGTCTCTGTAGAGCAAGCGGCGAATGATTGTAGCTCCGAGTCAGCGTAGGTGTTCCATCTGCAGCTGCAGTGGCCAATGCGCACACCGTCTGAGGGAGGCTACAAAGCAGTTCGTGTTTGGGAACACCTGTACAAGTAGCCAGCACAGCAGTAGTGTTCCCTGCGGCTTCCCTGGGTGACGAACAACTGCCACAGCAGTAGCAGCACCGCCGTTTTGTGGTCGTGGTGCCAGTCCACAACTCTTTGATATGTGTAAGTCTGTCCTCATGAGCACACAGCAGTAGTATACAAGCACTCGTCGGTACAAGATGCAACTGGCACAACCAAGGGGCCGGTGCTGCATTGCAAACAGAGGTGCAGCAGTGTTCTACTGCTGTAGGACTCAACGGGTGTAGCTGTTGGGTCATGTTTACACACGATGCCCCTACGTGGGGCGACGTTTAGACTTGCAGCATCGAAGGCATGAGTGAACCTGAGACACATTTTTGTTGAGCTTTCTTCGCCCAATGTTGCTCAACATTATGTCCCCACACGAACGGACGTGGCGAGGTCAACGTCTATCCGTGGCATACCCACATGCCAACCCCAGTCATTGGAAGGTCAGTAAAGCAGAGAGAGGCGCTATCTTGTAAGAAGCGCTTGTTTTGCCGAGATTAGTTTTTATCGTCTGGGGGTAGGTAACCCATGGGGGGAAGAGTCGTACCACCAGAGGATGATATACGGAGCCCCCTCGTTATCTCGTGGGCACTCTCCTGTCCTCCCTGGTCCGTCCTCCAACAGGGGGAATCTAACAACGGTCTAAACATCAAGCCTCAGAGGCCTTGAAACGACCGCCAACTTAGGGTATTCAAACGGCATGTGTGCGATGTATTTGCATGTGCAGAGAAGGAGAGGACCACCCTTGAAACTGGCAGGTGGCAACCACAGCATGCCGACAGGGACTGGAGATAGAAGAGCAAGAGCTAAAGGCGTTGTTCTGGGATGGTCGGAAGGTTTTCATTGAACGCTCGCTGTTTGATCCACTATTTTACAACATGTTGGAGGTTGTTCCCGTCTCACTGGTACAGAGACTTGGCCAACCATCAATTGAATTGAGAGGCTCAAAAAGAATAGAAGAATAGAAGCCCCCCTCCGGCCCGCGCCTTGTCCCCCCTGTCTGCCCCTGCCCCTATACCGAACCCACACCAGCAGCACATCGAAGCGGTAGGTGCCACCAGCAACACCTTTCGAGCTGCGGCGCCCCCTCCCGTCGTTCCTCCTTTTCCGCCCTCGAGCCGTCGCCTTCGCGGAGACGTTGTTTCGCCGGCGGGGTGTCAGGGCCGCTGCGAATCGGGTTGGGGGACTGCCCGAGCGAAGAAGAGTGCGAGATCGTGTACGACGACGATGACGACGACGGCATTGACGAAGGTGATTTCGGGCTGGTCCTTGTGGTACCCTGTCCTGTCTGTTTGGGTTTTTATCGGGCAACGTTTATGGTGTTTTCGTTCATCATCCAAAGTCCATGGGCGTGACATTGTGTGTGTTCGTCTACATAAAGGGTGCTTAGAAGTTTTTTCTTTTTGGTCATTTTTTGTCTCGCCTCAACCAATATCCGCGTCTCCCCCCACCCACCCCCTAGTCCCGCAAACATTATTTTTTTTTGCCGGGTGTGCCAGGGGCATCCTCGCCGGAGGTGTCGGAGGAGAAGACGTCGGAAGCCAAAGGAGCGGGCGAGAGCCCGCATAAGACTAGCGATAGGGACAGCGGTAGCGATAGCGATAGAGGGGAGGGCACAGAAGGCGAGGAGGGTGCTGTCGAGGGGAAGCAGCAGCAGCAGCAGCAGCAGCAGCAGCAGCAGCAGCAGGAAAGCATGAGCCTGCCGGAGGTGGATCGGGAGGGGTTGGAACACAAAGAAAAGGTGCCGCTTCGTTGTTTGTTGTTGTCGTTGTTGTTGTTGTCGTGGTGGTTGTGGCTGTTGACAGAATTGTTGCTGCTGCTGATGTTGGGTGGTCTTCAAATATAGTTCTCAGGTATTTGTCTACGTCCAGTGCTTCACCTCCCGTGCCCATTCAACTGACGAAAAGGAAGGTTGTCTATGGTGGCGCTACATTGTATACCCCACCCAAGGTGAACCCAAGACATCAGTCACATCAGGAACACTGCACACACCCTTCGGGGAAACCATTGATAACTGATCAGAAATAAATAGTATTGGTGGACCTCCAACTGGTACACTGCTGTACGTGCCGTTTTCTGTGCCACCACATGTTGTTCGTACATCCTCCGCGTCAGTCTCCCTGAACGCATCGAAACCAACTATTTAGGCTCACTCGCTAGTTTATGTTTTTGCACTCATGGAAGTACGACCCTCATCATTATTTCTGACGTAGAATGCCGCGTGAACGAGCAAAGCTATTTCTACCCTTCGCAAACATGCTTCGGGTCACACAAAACCCCCACCTCAACCACCATCAGGTTTTAGACGACGGTTACGAGAAGCAGGATATGGTCAAGTGGAGGGAGGCCGAGGTGGTGACCAACACCGCCGCTTCAGCTGACGACCGTGAGTATGGAGAATAAAGCGGGGTTTTCATTTATTTTGTTTTTTCACCTCCATTTTTGTAAGATCATTATGTTCCTCTCTATTTGAGTGCTTCCTCAGATCAGCAATGTAAGGTCGATAAGGATGATCAGAATGTAAGGTCGATTTGTAGCTTAGGTGGTTTAGATATTGCTTTTCTCGGGCGTATGCGTATGAAAGAATCATGCGCTCTCGTCTAGAAAACCTTCCGAGTCGTTCATCAGGCATAGCGTGTGACGAACAACGAAAACGAGTCTAATAATAAGTCTTTTGCGCGAATCTATGTATACATGTACTCTAAATAATGCCGACTTCCACGCCTCTTGCCAGTGCCGCCTCTCCCATGCCTGAACTCCGCCCGTGTTGTCTTGTGTTATTCCCTTGGCGCTGGCGTTGTGACAGGATGTCGCCTGCTGACGCTGTCGCTTGTGGGGGGTGTCGGGCTGGAGTATGAATTTTCGAGGGCGACTTGGTTGGACAAGTGAGGGAGAAAAGCAGAACCCGAAGAGTCGCTGTGTGTAAATGTGAAGTCTTGGAATGGATCTCCCGACCGCCCTTGTGTGGGTGTTGTTTGTTGTTGTAGCCTCTGCTCTTACTGCTGCTGCTGCTGTAGTTGATGTTGGTGGTGGTGGTACCATTTGCTATTTGGTGGTGGTCCTGGTGCTATTGCTGCTATTGCGCTGTTGGTGTTGGTGTTGGTGTTGTCGAAATTTCCATGGTTCTACATTGTACCTCATTTTGAGGACGGCTACTTGTCGTGTGTCACTGCCGTGCCGCACGGAAAAGACATATTCGGGCATGACACATACTCCTCCCTCACCCCAGACCCACCACGATGCCATAGAATCACTGTCGTGGGTAACCTTCTTCTGGAGACGGAGTGTGATGCCTGTCACAAAACCTCCCCCCAAGCTTTGTTTTTTCGGTCACGACTCCTTACATGATTTTCAAACACAGCCTTGACAAACGGCCCAATTATGCCTATTGGTTTTCTTCACCACACGTCCTCTCTAGAAAACAGTCACGAGCAGGTAGTAGCAGGTTAGACAAACACTGTGTTCCTGTTCGAGATAGAAGCCGCGCCGTTTGTTTGCGTGCCACGTTCATGAGATGCTATGACGCCATGTGCTTACGAGCAGATATGGCAGGAAAGAAGATGCTGTTTGTTCCTGTTCGAGAGTAAACACCTTGCCGTTTCGCTCGTTGTTCCGTTTCGTGGATGTGACCGTTTCAAGGTTCCGAGGGAAAGAAAAATGCCATGTTCCCGTTCGAGAATAAATACTTGTTGTGCCGTTTCGTGGATGTGACAGTTACAAGGTTCCGGGGCAGTTCGTGGGCATCCGGCTAGACGAGGGCGGGGACAACGGGGTTGCTGGGTGTCTTGTGGCCGTCTCTACGGAGCCTACCTTGGTGCGGCAAAAGAACGGGAACGTGGAGGTGCTGGTGACGGAGGAGCCGAGCTTTCGACTCAAAGGTGCTTGCTTGGCTCTTCTGTTTTGTGGTGTTGTTGTTGTGCTGTTGTTGGTGTTCGTGGTTTGATGGTAATTGATATTGGCGCTGTTGGTGCTTGCTTGGAGTTTGGGGCTGATGTTAATGGTGTTGGTGGCTGGTGGTGTTTTGAGGTCAACGTGGTTGTTGCCTGCGTTTTGTTGTTGGGGTAGTGATTTGATTGATATTGGTGCTGTTGGCGGTTGGTGGTATTTGGGGTTTGACGTTGGTGTCGTCGGTGTTGTCTGGTTGTGATGGTGGTGTTGTCTGGTTGTGATGGTGGTGTACAGTAGTTGGCTTGATGCTGTTGATGTTCCGAGGTTGACATTGTGTGGTACATACTTTGGGTTTGGAGAGCAGGGGACAGGAGGGACTGGTCATGAGCGTCTTGCAATGCGAAGACGACGACGACGACAACAACAACAAGCTTTCTCACGCTCGGGAGCCGAGAGCCATGCCATCTTCCCGGCGACGCAGCGCCCCATCCTCCTCCGCATTGTTTGTCGAGAGAAAGCAAGCAGCAAGACCTGTTCCTATCTCTTCGTTTAGCGAGATCCATCCCTAGTGTTTGTCGTTGCCTGCCTCTTATCTTGTTTTTTCGTGAGGACCATCCCAGACGCCCGTCGTTGCCTGCTGCTGCCAACCGAAACAACAGGCGACACACGCGGACCAGCGGAGGATGCCAAGGGTCGGTCTCTGGCTTCCCTAGAGGAAGGGGATAGGGTTAAGATCAGCGACTTCATGGGCCGGGGGTTCTCTTCGCTGTTCGTGGGATGGATAGGCCTGCAGTCTGCTCTTCAGGTCTGCGTCCCCCCCCCTGCTGTTTTCAGAATGCCACGATCCCCCCCCCCCCCCGCGCGCGCTGTTTTCACATTGCCACGAACAAGACTTCAACGTCCCCTTCGACTATCACTTTGGTTATATCCTGAACGGGCAGTCTTCTTTGATTGCATGTATGTATTTCCTGAATAGGCTGCTGTCCAGTTGTCACAGCGGGGGGTTTGCGAAGTACGGCACGTGGGTCACGCAAGAAGGCACACGCCGCCGACCGATTTTTCGAAGCCCGATCGATTACTCCGCGACGAAAGAAGATGCCAAGATCAGATAGATTGCAGTGACAGTGGTCGGAAAAGGCTGCCGACGAGACGAGTCCGACGAGGTTTGAGACCTGCGCGAACACCAATTGGCCGAACTGTCTTGGGTTGGAAACAAAAATGCGCCGGGGTGCAGCGAGTGTCGGTGGCAAGTGATGCCCCCCCCGTACTTGCCGACACAACGTCGCCCCGGTATTTCAGCAACAGCGCGGTGCTTACGATGGGTGGTTGGCTATGCACCCCCCTTGTCCCCTTTGATTGCAAACTAGGTCCCCTCGCCTGACTCTCTTTTTTTTTTTCAGGAACAGCGGGACATTGTAATAGTGGCGTCAGGCGCTAGGGGGTTAGGCTCTGTCAAGCCTGTGCTCGACTGGCCTCCCGTCCAGGCTCATGCCGGTATCAAGAAGGTATCGTTCGTTGCGTGGGTCCGACGGTGGTTGGTAGGGTGGTTAGGCACCTCCTTTGTTCCCGAGTTTGAAACGATTGCTACTGCTGTACGGGCACCTGGTGCTGAACGCATCAGCGAGACCTGCGGAAAAGGTTGCCCTTCTTTAGTTTGTGACGATAGGACGGTTGCAAGATGTTCAACACTGCACCGAGACTTGCGAAAATGACGCCCATGCCGTGCTGGCGCACGGGGCTGGGCCGAGCGCGGGGCCTCCAGTTTTGCCGTTGGGTGCGGATAAAAGTAGTTACCTAGAAAAAAATGTATGGATCCTACTCACTGTAAAGACTTGAACACATGCCCTTCGACTATGGTTGTATCTCAAACGGGTACATGTAGTCTGTCTGTGATATATACGGTATTTTGTTTTAGCCTTTTGTCCCGGAATCGTGTTAAAGTTCGCTCTTTTGGTATCTCCAAGAAAGTTAAAAGTTTGTTCTTGGCGTCCGAAAACCCGGAGGTACCGCACGGTTGTACATCGTGTGCTGTCTCGCGGTGATGTTGTTGTGTGATGTGGTTGTACTCTGCAGGCAGGCGTCTTCTTGGAGCCCGAAAGCCCAGCGGTAGCCCGCGGTTGTTTGGCGCCCCGTTGTTAAATGGTGTCATGTGGTTGTGCTCTCCAAGAAAGAGTCTTGTCGGAGCTCGAAAGCCCAGCTACAAACCCATGGTTATTCGCTGTCCCGCGCTTTTCTGTGCGGTATGGTTGTACTCCCCAGGTGAGTGTCTTCCTGGAGTCCGAAAGCCCAGCTGCGGCGCCGTTCATCAACGAGTCGGGCGGCTGGAGGTCATCGGGCATTCGTGTGACCCAGTGTTACACGGCCAAGACTAACGAGAACCCCGTCAGCGTCGAGGCGAGAGATTGGCTTCGTCTGTTGTTATGTACACGAGAACCTTGTTATTGTTGTTGCGGCTGTTTTTTTTTCGCTTTCCTTTTTTTTCTTGGAAAGCTTGCTGCGGAACTCGTTGCAACGGTTGTATCATATTCGCCTGACTTATTATCACGAACAGGCTTATTGCTGTGTCGGTTGTTTCCTCTGCGCTTCTCATCTTCCCGACATGTGTTGCTTGCGATGGGCGGGTTTCATTGACATTATCATATTCTACGTGGTTATCCGTGCCACCGACGGGAGTTCCGTCAGCGTCGAGACGGGTGTTGGTCCAGATTTACGGGACGGCGGGGTTCCGCGCATTTTGGAAATATGGGCATTGCTTTGCTGGTTTTGCACCATGTATATCCTGTACCACATATGACCGTTTACTCCTCCTGCCGTGCTCTGTCGGTCAAGAGAGACCACCAAACTCCGCGACAAGCGTTCTGGTCGAAAATTATTGAGAACTCATTTTGACTAGCAAGACGTGGCATAATGTACCGACGGATCCGCAGAGCGAACCCTCACATGTATAGTCGAAAAAACTCTGTCCCACTTATCGAAAAACCTCTAGTCTACACCAGTACATGCCGATGCTGATGAGCACCGTCTGACGGCAAATATTCAATAGGCGGGCATCGTTCCCCGGCGTATCACTGATCTTTGTCGGTCGTCCGTTGATTCCCCCTCCCCTATATATCGCTGCCTGCGCCCCTCCCTTTCCATCAGGCGGCGATGTTCTCCCACGGTTCGGGGCTCGCGGGCGCCGTAGGAGGCCACCCGGGCGCGGCTTCCTTCTTGATGGCGGGGTTGCCGGGAAAGCGGGCTATGGAGTTGACGGACCGATTAACAGACCATGGCGTCGACCCCAGCCGTCTCCTGTTCAACGACTTTTTCTAGAGAACTTGTTTTTTTTTTTAATTATCAGGCCACTAGCCGGCCCCTTTGTTCAACGACTTTTTCTAGAGAGACCAACGGCTCTCTTAGTCGTGTTTGAGATATTATTTCGACCAACGGCTCTCTACGTTCTCTTTGAGATTGATAAGGTGTTGCAAGGTGTGTGGTACCCTTTTGTGGGGGGTTCGTTGGCCTGTGACCACAGAAGGCGTCAGGTTTGCCGGTGCGGACAGTGGAGGATGCTGAGCAGAGACCGGCACGGTTTTGTAATGTGAAGACAACAACAAAATAACGAAAAGTAAATATCGAGCGCTGGAGCTTCCAGCGACTATTGAATACCAGTGATGTCCAACGTGTGTCGTCTTCGATATTTCATATTTTGGTTAGAATGCGGGCCTCTCTTATTTCCTCGTTTTGCGGAATAGCGCGTCCCACGGAATGCCAAACTGCTATTTTCTGCGTTCTAGAATTGTGTGCCGACGGATTGGAGATAGCCCCCATCTGGCGGATAATGCTTTCAGCGCTGATATAAAGTGACAGACGAAAGAAAGATAGAGTAGGTCGAGAGAGAGGGTGGACCATGTTGGAGTTGCCCTCGAGAACACAGCGATGATCATCGCGCGCCTTCTGTCGCCGGGAACTACTGCTGTGTCCGTACGTCAGGTGTACCTGGGAATGGTTTCATCGGTTTGTCCCTCCCAATGCGGAGATGGATGGATGCATGCGTGACCAGTCTCCTCGTGGTTTTTTGCACGTGTGCGGGTGTGCTTTTCTGCTCGTGCGGGCAATATCCTACAGGCGCTTATAGATGCTTACTTGTCTCTGCGCATTGTAGAGAGAGAGAGAAAAGGTGCCCGCTGTTTTCTGATTGGCCAATCTTTTTGAAAGGAAATTTCTGATTGGCCAAAAATCCCCGGTCGACATGATGACGTGTCATCCACGGCGGGTTCGCGTTTTTTTGTGAAACATCCAGATATTTCAATCTGACCGCAGAGGATATGCTGTTGTTGTAGATTGATGATGTTTGGTCAATTTTGACATTTACATCTAATCTTACAGGTGTTGGTTGGTGAGTACAACACACGAAAAAATCAACCGCTGCAGCATACACTAGGGGTAGCCTGTGTGACTTTCCACCATCATGAAAAGTCCATATACACAACAGAGACCACATCACCGAGCTACAGACAGCAGCTGCCAGCTGCCAGCAGCAGCAGCTAAATATTACTTCTAAACAGCCAGAAATTGTCCCGTCATTGTGGGGGTTATCAGTAAAAAAACGAGGGGAGTCTAAAAAATTGCGGAGTGATATTATATTCGTAGCAAAGCTCTCGCCAGGGGCGTTCGAATAAGCTACTCAACACGGGTGGGTTCGGTCTCGATAAAAAGTGATGGACCTCTTACCGTCGCCATAGAGGGTACTTCACCCACTGAATCCTCCATACGTCGACAACTACGACGAACCCACCGACAAAAATTGAAGATTATTGAAGCCCTGATTCTGTGCTATTTTTGGATTTGGTTCCATTTCCGAACCTTTTAGACGCCAATCCGAAAAAAACTCCGAACCACATTTAAAAAAAAATGGCCCAAATCACAGCCCCAACGGCTGCGCGAAAAAGAACTTCGAGGTCCACGCCCTACACGCCCATGGCCTCCGCGCTTCGCCTTGAGGCGCTGGCAGCCATTCGGGAAGCCCTGACTCGGCGTGGTGGTACTTTGATTGCTGCACGTCAAGTGAAGGGCTCGAAAGCGTATCGTCTGCTACTGACAGCGGACCTCTCTGATGGGTCCAGCCGCAGCTGGTTGGTACAGCGAGTACATGGGGTACCCGGAGTCTAACAAGAAAGCACGTGACTGGGTTGCGGAGGAGAACTTCGCCAAGGCCTGGCGGCCATCTCACTCTAGCGGCAGCGCCGTTCTCTCCAAAGCAGATGCGAGGCTCCGGAGCGAAGACAAACCTGCTCTTCCTCCTCGGGAAAAACGGCCACGAGACTGTCAGCCAACATGTTCCGCGATCCACACACCACCCGCCAAGCGCGCAGCACGTGAGGGAGAAGGCCGCCCGAAGGGAAGCTTCGGCCGGAAGAGATTGCGTGCACTCTTGCATCAGTACAAGGTGCAAGTCGAGCAAGGCCAGCTGACCTTTGCACGCTTGCAACTACGGGACCTCGGCAGCGCGATGTTGGCTGCGTCGCAGGAAGCGGACAAACCCGAGAAGTACATACTGGCAGCCGGCCTTCCTCAAGGGCCAGAGCAACACGGGTGTGGGCAGGAAAGAGGCTCTGCGCAAGCTCGCAAAGCATAGATCGCAGCCGGAGAAGGCATCCTTGGCGTTCGCTGCATGCAAGGCGGGCTGGGAGAAAGGACTCGAGTATTTCCGCGCCGTCGCGAAGGAGTGCAACGGTGCTGTTGCAGCGACGTCTGCTGGGGTCGAGGTAAGTGTAGATCGGGCTGGTATATCCTGTGTTAGGACACACACAGCAGTGTTCCTGTTGTTCTGTACTACAGTAGTACGTATGGCACATGCAGCAGTGCACTATGTATGTCATCGCTGTTGCTGCTGTTGTTGTTCTACATCTATATTACTGCTGCTGCATGCGCCAAAAATCTGAACCATGCGCATGCATGCGTGCATCGCGCAATGCTGTTTGCTGCCGTGCGTGGCCTGCTAATTTTTTCGGCGCTCTTGCTTAAATGATGGTGTGTCTACGCTAATATGGATGCCAAACATGCTGGAGTTGTGTTGTCCACTGCTGTACTGAGTACTGACGTTGCACGCATTGACTTTCCTTGCCCGGATCTGAGTTGGTGCGTGTGAGCGTGAGAGCGTGTGTTCATTTTGACCGAGATCTGAAACAAGCGCCAACCAAACCCACTACGTTACCCTTGTCGTCCCAGGAAACATTTGATGTTTCGCACGCGCAAGCTGGGAAACTGCTCACCCAAGCCCACGCCCTGAGAGCGGTGTACAGCAAGCTACTCCAGGGGGTGTCGAAGCGACAAGCCTTCGAGGAGTCGGCCGAGTTTCTCGAGTTGGCAGTGGGCACCATCAAGCAGTGGGAGCTTGAGTACCGTACGAAGGACCATATCGTGGTGCGCGCAACAGCAGTCTCCCCTGCTACTGTATATCCACATACCCATCAGCGGGGGTGTGTGTACTACTACACTCACTACGTACGTACGCGTACACACTCCTAGAACCGTGCCCTACTGCTGTAACTGTACATGGTACGACTTTTACTGATGTTGTAGCATGTGTGTACAGCAGTACCTGTACGCTTCATTCGACATCTCGACGCATAGAACAATGGCGTCTGCATCTTAATCTGTCCGTACAATTTTTAATTCGAGTACAGCAGCAGCATTACGCACGCGCTCTGTGCTGAATATCGGATCAATCAACGATCGATATAAATCGATCCAGCCACTCCGGTGGATGTAGGCGCAGATGATGTGTCCTGCCCCAAGAACACACAGCTGATACAGAGGAGGTTCTATCAAGCGGAAGACAACCTACTTGCTGTACCTGACTTCGCATTTTTGTGAATGCCGCCGGTCGTTCACCTCTCTCTGCTGTGTGGTAGTTTTTACTCTACTAGACTAATTTGCGCCGCGTTTTTTTTTTCCGAACCATCCAGCACACCGCCCCTTGCCTCCATACCGATACAACTCCCCCGTGGGCTTCGGCTCTGCTGTGTGTTGCGCCAGCTGAGACCACTGTACTTACACCTCATGCTCTTGTCCACTCCGCCAGAGCATCCAAGCCAAGATCGCATAGGAAGACTCACAGCAACAACAAAATGTTAAGCCGTGAAGGCCGCTCGTGGATAACGGGATGCACACCTTTTGTTTGAATTGGGCCTTCGATGCCGCGGTGCATCACCATGCTCGTGCGTTGTTCCCATCAGAGACCAGACTGCCACCCAACCAACCGAACGTAGACGTCGATTCCGCGCCGCTCATCGATGCATTTCTGCGGCAGGTTCATAGTTTATCCTCTCCGCCGTCTATTGCACGTGTTCCTGCTGTACTTGGTAGTGACTTCGATCTCACTCAGCGACCCCCATGCTTGCACACCTGCCGTATACGCCAATAAAAGCAGAAGGATAGCCATGGCCACCTCCAGCGATCCCCGGCGCACTCCACTCGGGGAGCCCAAGAGGAAGAGGGACACCGGCCGGGACATATTCGTACTGGGCTCGGACGATGACGTAGGACCATCAGCGTGGTGTGATAGACATGTTTTCCTTGAGATTTTCAGGTCGTCCATGCTGAACGTGAACCAATTGTCTCACACCCAGTCACACACACAATCACACGATGATGCACCCTCTCCCCACCCATGCATCCGCCCGTGATCCCACAGGACTTTTGCAGCCCCCCAGGGGTGGCGCGTAAAGATACGAACCCTAAATCCCGTGTCGAAGACGGCCTGGCGCCTATAGGTGACCCCTCCAGGCCCCGTGTACCGCCACCCGTTGCTCCTGCCTGTGAGTGGTGTGCGGCCTGGTCTACCTGCTCCACGTAGCACCACCGGTAGCTGGTGGCATGTGTTGATGATACAGCTGCTGTGGTTGCCCGTGCCATTTTCTCTTTGAAATGAGACGACACAATTTTTCTCTTTTTTTACCCGAAGCGTCAACCACGGTGGTGGCACCGTTGGCTGATGACAATATATCTGTCAGGCGATGACTCCGTATGTGGTAAAGACGCGGCTGTAATGTAGAAAAAACTCTTCTCTTGTGAGGGGGGGATGTACTTGTGAGAGTGTGTCGGTGTTTCCTGCGGCGAATGTTTCCCGTCCAGATTTGTCCCTGCTGTGTGCCTCGTTTTTTTTTCAAAGACCGTCCGTCGTCGTGTGGGCGCGACAAAAAACAACACTAGAAGAGGGGCGGGGATGGTGGGTTCAACACCACCCAGCGTCGGGTGGATCGTAGCAGCCAGGAGTAAATGCGTTCGTCCGGGGCACAGGAAAGTGTGGTCAGCGATTCCCGTGTAAGTCTGGCGTCATCATCAGTCCAATCAGTCACCCACGGCGAATTTGATTTTTTTTTTTTTTTCAAGAGGTTACGTCATGACCGTGGATGTCATCACCGGCCGTTCATGGAATTTTCCGCACACAGGAATTTTCCTTCCAAAAAAATCGACCAATCAGAAAACTGCGGGCACCTTTTCTCTCTCTCTGCGGCGTAAATTTAACTTGTGTCGAGGTGGTTTCTGGCCAACAGGAAGGTGACTCCGCCCGTCGACAGCGCATGTTTGTGCACAAACGGTGCCAAGAAGGAAAATCGCGACGCGAGGCGATGCGGCCGAAAAGCGAGTATTTCGACTTGACACATCGCGCTGTGATGGGTGTAAGCGCCACGGAGGGTAGTAGTGATGCAGAATGAAGGAACTTGATTGGTGCCAATACCTAAAAGACCGACAGCTTGTCAGAGGAACCAACCAAAGTGAGTCCAAACCACTCTTCCTCCTGTCTACCAGAGACAACCAGGTTCATCCCATATCACTTTTTACTACCGAGGATTTTTGAACGGAGGAGCTCGCCAGACATCAGCCTCTCGCTTCGGAGCAACCTCACAGCGACAAAAAAAAAGAAAAGAAAGAAAATGGGAATTTAGTCTATTCACCCTCTTCAACGGAGGAAACGAGGACGAAGAGATTCCTCTAGAATACAACTGCGGCTTAGCGTGTTTCAGGGGCACATATTGTACGGCATGTGCGTACATGCGATCGGGAAGAGATCATCGCCCCATGTTCACAAGTAGCGCTGTGAAAAACAAAAAACTTTGTCCTCTAAACCGGGTGTAAGAGGGGAATACCTATGTAGAAGCCATATGACTCGGGCACAACACCTCACCCTCATGCATGTAGCCCGTAGGGTCCCTTCGCTTCTCGCCGTTGGCAAATATACAAACAACATCATAAATATTTTTCTCCCTTCTCCACCACCACTAAACATGAAACCGTTCCGATACACACGAAGCGGAAGGCTTGCTCTTATCTAAAGGGATACTCGTATGTACCTACCTTCACCTCACCTATGAGAAACAACATCAAACTCACTCGAGTCTAGGGTGCAACCTCGGGAGCCGACTCGACCTTGATCCGTGCAACGCATGCATGCATGTATCCCCAACTACAACAGCAGGCACACCAATCACCGGTCTGCCGGGGGGCGAGAAGCACAGAAGAAGAAGCTTCTTCGAAATGTCGAATCAAGACCCCGTTGTCACGACTCTCACTAACGACCACGGTACAGCTTCGAGAGGCGTTCACACGCGTATGGCAGCCCCGGTCGCTACCCGACGTACCTCTCGAAAAACAATGATCGCACGGAGGCTATCCCTCGCCCAGCAAGCAGAACGAAAGAGACAAAACAACGCTCGAGAAAACAAATCCTTGACCACCGCCTTCAGGGTTCATCTGAATTGCGAGCGCATCTACAAAGCGGGGGGGGGGGGGACTTTTCCCTGATTCTAGTGATAGGTCGTCCCATCAAACGGGACCGAATGCAACACGCTCGACGACCTAATTACATTGATCGCCAGCTATTCTGGGGAGAAATAAAAACGTCAGTTGAAGCAGGAGAGGCACATCATGCGCATCCACCCTCTCCATCATCGTGTCGGGAGGTAATCGAAATGGCCGAACGTTTTATCAAGGCACAGCACAACGGCCGGCGCCACCCTGCCGGCCAATGGACAAGTCTGCGTGCCCCCCTCCCCCCCCGGTCTGTTTACGCCGCACCCGTCCACCCCAACAATGTCGGGAACGCGCAGGCAAACCAACCCTTTCCTAACGACTACCACTGTACGCCTCAAACAAAAATCGCCGTTCCTTAGAGAGACACGTTCAGCGTTTTTTCGATCATGTCTTCTGTGTCTCTATTAGTTAACATCCCCCACCTCCGATGAGAGAGAGGTTGACTCTATCCGCTTATCTTGGTAGATGTGACAAAAACTCGACGTGGACCCCGTCGCACGCTACGATTGCAAGGCAAGGCGCTTGGGTCATCGTGGCGTGCGGCCCCGCGTGCGTGTTACTTTCCTCTCTGTCGGGTCCGGCCTCCCGTCTCTCCTCCTCGCCCTCCCCTCTGATGCCGCTGACGGAGGCACACGTGCGTTCCTCCGCAGACTACTATCGGGCTGTTCTGCCGCGGCCGCTGCCTAGCCGTCGTAAGAACAGAGCCATATTGCATCACGGCCATGCTTTCTCACGTGTCTTATGCAGGTCTGAAAAAAGTCGAACACAGACATTTTCAACCCGACCTCCCCCTCCTCCCCCCGGCTGTTACACCGTGTTTTTCATTCTTCTTCCGCGGGTGCCCCCCGCCGACCCAGAGGCAATAACCCGGTCATCGTTGCCACACCACCGTCGTAAACGTGAATGAACTCGGGGCTAAGCTCCGCGCTCTGCCGCCACCGCCACCGCTGTATCTACGTGTTCGGCCTCAGGCGGCTAAGCTGTGTCGTCATTTTCTGGTCCGGATTTGCCGCCGAAGGCGCTTGCCTCGCGGTCGTCGTGTAGAGCGCCAGGTTGCACGCTCGCGGGTCCAGCAAGCACTGCACCGTGATCTCTGCCGCGTCGGCCCTCGAAACCTTGCTCACATTCTCCGGGTCCTGCCGAAAAAAAAAAAAAACGGAGGCACGGGGGCGAGGGCGGGGTAAAGGAACGGTTAAGCGAAAGGCCAAAAAGGAAAGGGACCGAATGCTCACGTTTCTCCGCGTCCTGCCGAAAAAAAAACAAACAACGGAGGCACGGAGGGGGGGGGTGTACTCATAGTCGTGCATGTCGTAGTCGTTAGACCATTGACCTCGCATCCCTACAAAGCCGGGACGGAGCACGCCGGGTTCTCACCGGACCAGGCTATCACGTCACCAAGCGCGAAGCGCCGTGAGGTATTCGGCGAGTCGCATGAAAGGTGCGCTGCATCCTGCTAAGGGTGTTCGGCATCTTGTGCTTACTTCCTAGGGTACGGATGACAGCTGATCATGACTTAGTCTATTTTCTGGTGCTTTCGCTTCCAGAGACAGCTATAAGCGCTGTATAACTGCCTCGAGGGTGCTTGACCAATTTCACACAAAGTGGTGCGATCATCCCCCTTGCGCGGAGTGAGGGTTCTCGACCCCGAACGACATAATCTACTCGCTCATCATTATGGGTACCGCAAAAATATACAAACCGGAGGCAAAAAAAAGCGGTAACCTGGTTGCCGAGCTCACGAAGCGAGTTGGCTTGTTTTACAACATCGCTGCCAAGCGGCGAAAATTCATCCCCGATGGCAAACACGGGGGGGGACATCGCCTCCGGGGGGGGGGGGGGGGGACTCATGTCTTGCACGCCGTATTATATACCATGGGTTGTCGATAGACCATTGGCCGCGCGCCCTCAAGAGGACGGAGGCGGGGGAAGGGGGAAAAGGAACGGTTAAGTGAAAGGGTAAAGGTAACGGTAAGAGTAAAGACAGGCGACGAAGACCAAAGACTACCCCAAAGAGTGCGGGGGAACACACAGTTGCGCAAATCGATTCGGAAACAACGACCAAGGCCAGGAGAGTGTAGGGTCCACGTGCATCTCAGCTTCGATAAACTTGAAAAGCCTAGTTGTTGTTGTTGCTGTTGTTGTTGTTGTTGTTGTCTTAACATTAAAAACCGTTCCGGTCTCCGCTCAGTACCTTCTAATGTCCGTACTGGTCCAACTGACGGGGACGCTATCCATGGTCACAAGCCAAGTACAGTACAAAGTCTTAAAAAACGAAACAAAAACTTAATAAAACAGTCTGGATGTTTGTGGCACAGAGCGTACGACCGTCGCCAGGCGCTCTCGGCGTGACAATCAATCTCTCTCCCTTCCTCCTCGTATCCTTGCCTGCTTGATCTCTATGGCCTGAATGCCTCCCGGAAGGTTGTTGAAACCCTCCACGCGGATGATCGTGTACGTCAGCCCCGACTTGCGCAGCAGCTCCTCCCCCCTGGCGTTGTAGTAGCATTTCGGGCTCTCGTGCTTGAGGGTCTGGGCGTGAGCGGACACCACCAAGTGAAGGAAGAGAAGATAATATGGGGTGTTAGACGCTGATGATGGCGGCAAAGGAAGGGTAGTGGCCGACACAAAACGAAAGCAATATAATTGTGCCACCTTTTCCCCCTGATGAATCATGCTGCTGTCCGTCCACAAGGGCAAAAGGGGAACAGCGCGGTTTCACGTACGCCTGCCGTATGTCGAAACATCAGTCTGGTGCAAAACATACACTTCTGGATGAAAATATGGACACGGAAGTACTGAGAAGAAACAAAAAATAAGGCGGAATTTCACGGAAAACATCCAGTGCCCTCGCCGCATACTTACATCGAGGATGCGGTCGTAGTTGCTGTCAGTCATCGGTGGCACCCCGGCAGAAGACACGTAGATGAACTCGGGCTCGATCTGGGTACGATAAACCTGGATTCATTGCAACATTTTGAGAGAAAATGGGGGCGCAGACACGCCGAAGAGAAGGGAAAGCGAACAAGCACGCCGGTCGCGTTGGCGGGGGCGACGTGGGTTGGCCAAAACAAAACAATGCCAAAATTATTGACTGCACACCAAGGAGGCCAGTCGAAGGGGGGTGGGCATCGTGTTCAAGAACAGAACATAACTACCCGCATTCTACGGGCATTGGCACGGACTCGTGCTTCCTCCGTCTTAACACGGATGTAGAGTTTCCAACGGTCTTGCCAACGGGCAAGGGTCTCTAAATGCCCCCCCCGCCGAATACCTCACGGCGCTTCGCGCTTGGTGATGTGAGAGCCTGGTCCGGTGAGAACCCGGCGTGCTCCGTCCCGGCTTTGTAGGGATGCGAGGTCAATGGTCTAACGACTGCGGTATGCACGACTATGAGTACACCTCCCACCCCCCCGGGAACAAATGTAGCTGCACTCGGTATCAGCGTGGCGGAGACAAAACCGCCATTTTACCGACAGAGGGAATCTATCGCTGGGCTTCATCGCGCCCGTCTTGCCAACCAGACGGGCGGTCGAGAACGACTACCTGATATACAAATACATATAGACAGTCTTCGCGTTTTCATTGGTCACCCGGCCAGTAGCGTCATTGATGCTGTGTAGCAACAAAGACACACACACCAACATTCACCTTGGCGAAGTGCATGGAGAGGATGCACGCAAACGCTCACTCACCTTGACAAAGTGCATGGAGAGGATGCACACCAACATTCGCCTTGGCGAAGTGCATGGAGAGGATGCACGCAAACGCTCACTCACCTTGACAAAGTGCAAGGAGAGGATGAAGTTGAACGGGTCCACCGGCTCGCGCTTGTACCCTATCGCCAGCTGCTGCACCGATGCTCGGTCCACTTCCATACCCGCCTCAGCTGGGGAACCGGGACGAACAGGCCAAGCATCGAGGACATGCACACAAGAAAAAACACATCAACAGTAAGGAAGGAGAACGAACAGACCAAGCATCGAGACACGCACACAAGAAAAACAACACCAACAACTAGGAAACAGAACAAACGGACCAAGCATTGAGACATACGTGCACACAACATGATCTCCTCCTTCTGTAAATTACTGCAACACATGTCCTTCGACTGTGGGTATGTCTCGAACGGGTATACATTCATGTTTCCTAAAAAAAAAGATGAGCAGTTTCCAAAGTGCAAGATCTGTAACTATAACCCTTCTGTGTGACCACGGGTTGGAGTAAACAACAAATGTTGTGAGCGCCGATTTGAAGTCAAGACAATATACACATATATATACATATATATTTCTGTGAACGCTAGGGTTAGTTTGTTGATCTTGTACTTCCTACGCAACATGACGTGAGCATGGTCTCGATTAGCGTGGTTTCATGGAAACAACGGGAAAAAAAAAAAACGCGTGCTACCAACGCCCAGGTTAGGAAACGGATGGCTCCAAAAAACGAGCGAACACAACCAAGGGCGTTCTTCTCAACGGATGCCACTAATCAAATTATTTTTATCTTCGGCAAGCTATCGACGAGACGGTGTGCCAATGCCACACCACACCAGTTATCGGCACCGCAACCTCTCTCGCCTTGAGGGTAATCTAGAGTAATCGAGCTGCTGTACGTAAATCGGTCGAGGGGGCGTGGTAGCTTTCGTTATGCAACCTGCGGTACCGGGGGGTTGCGGGACACAAGAAAGGCATACAAGGAAGATGGCTCAGGATTGACCCTGAAGCACCACGCTGATTGCCAAGACCACCGAGTACTGCTGTACCGTTTCCTGGCGGATCAAGAAGCAGACAACAACACCGCGACCCGGCTCCTCGAAAGGCTTTTAGCCGTTTTCTGTCACACCGTTTACTGCCGTCGAAAACAAATGGCACGAGCAGCAGCAGCAGCAGCAGCTGTGGCAGTGGCAGCAAGTGCAACGAGAACCCACCGACCCACCTTGCACCACCTGGCCGTAGAGGTAGGCGTCGAACGCGGAGAAGGGGAGGCGGTGCGTCTGCCACTTGTTCGGCTTCGTCTGGAGGGGGGGGGGCAGCGAGAAGCAAGATGTTTGGGGTGTCATGCGATTCAGTTGTTGTTTCCGCGGTAGAAGAAGCAGAAGAAGCAGCGGTTCGCAGCAGCAGCAGCAGCAGCAGCAGCAGCAGCCGTAGGAGAAGCAGGAGCAGCAGCAGTGGAGGCAGTCGTAGTAGTTGCACCAGCGGTCGCAGTGGCAGCAGTTACAGCAGCAGCAGCAGCAGCAGCAGCAGCAGCAGCAGCAGCAGCGGGGGCAAGGATCAATAATTAGTTGGGAGAGAAGTAACACACGGGACAAACACCGCCCCAGCACCATCGCAACCCGCGAAACACAGAAGCACGCGCGAACGCCCGCTGCAGGGCGCAACAAAGAGAGTCAACAACAAGGCGTGGGGAACAAAAAAAAGAAGAGCTCTCGCGGTGGAAAGACGAGGAAGAAAAAGGAAGCCATCGGCAGCAACGACAGCGAGAAAAAAAAAAAGAAGACAAAAAAGCACAATGAAGAAACCAGTAATAACAACCGCAGCAGCAACGGAAACCCGCCACCTTGTCAACCCACGTACGTACGGGGCTTAATGCAGAAAAAAAACGCGGTGGCAAAAGGCAACCCCGCCACTGAAGCAAGCATGGGGGGGTTTCCACTCCACTCCACTCCACTCCACTCCACACATCGACTCGCCTGGATGACCGTCTCAAACTGGATGCCGTTTTCTTCGTACTGCTTATCCCGGAGGATGAAGCGGTACGGCTTCCCGTCTCCGCAGCAGCGGACAGCAAGACTGGCCAATCAATGACGACGTGGGCGGGGGGGGGGGCACGGAGATAGATGTAGGAGACAGGGGGTACTCATGTTTTGCATGCCTTATATAGCGGTTGGGCCATTGATTACACGTCCTCCAAAGGACGGAAAATTGTTCCCCATTGGGACCGATCACCCGTGGCCAATCGTTCCTTCCTACTTTGCCAAAGTGGGGGGGGGCGAAAAAAGGGGCAAAAAGGAAAGGGGGCTACACCAATAATCCCCCAACGAAAAAACAGCATTTTTTTTGTTGAGGTCTAAACACAAAAATTCAATTAAAACGTGCTTTGACAGTCTGTGGAGCCTTACATTTGTACCCGTCCAATTGACGCGGATGCCTTCCGTGACAAACTAGATACGCAGGATGGCAAATAACCGTACCGGTCCAATTGACGCCGACGCCTTCCATGGTAAACTAGGCACGCTGGATGACAAGTAAACATACGCGTCTCGGGGCGATACACGAAACGGCAACACATGCATTCCGCACGTGGACCGAAAGAAAGAACAACCAGCAGCGAACTGGATGGGTGCACAACATTCACGACAGAAGAAAAAGAAGCCTACCGGAGCATGCACAATACTCGCGAAACAACAAGACAGCAGTGCTGCACCGGATGCATCCACAACACCCACCAAGGAAGTAACAGCACCAACACCTGACGCTCCATCTTACCCGCTGAACCCGGAGAGGTTGAGCTTGATCTGCTGAGACTCCACCGTCGCGTACCCGGACTCGTACATGCGGGTGCTGCCGAACGTCCCGTATCCGAACTTGTTCGACTTCCACATGGCGCTTTGCTGGGAGTCCTGGTCCACCGCCCACAGCTCGCGGTCCGCCTAAAAAAAAAAAAAAATGACGGGTCGATGTAGGGCCGGCTTACGAAAATAGACTAAAGTTAGCGAATGCATTTCAGAACCTCTATTCATAGTTGTCGTTGAGGCTGGGGTTCTACTGTATTCCTAGGGTCATGCTACAAGGCCCCTGTGGCCCCTCTATAGGTTATATGTAGGGGTTCTTTACCGAGCTCACAAAAGTGGTGCTCAGGTTTTTCTATGTTGAGTTTTCGAGCAAAAAAAATGTTTAAGTACCAAATTATTAAGTGCAGGCGCTATCAGTATTTTTCTTCTCAAGTGTCAAGCTCAACGAAGAAGCCGAGCCTTTCGGTGGTGAAGTGCCCTGCGCCGTTGCTCCTGCTATTCATGTACGGAGCTCTGTGGTCGAGAGCTGCATGCATGTACCCTTCCTCTGCCCGTCCGCGCGCTGCCTTGCCTTCCAATCCGATCCCAATCGGGACCACCCAATGTCACCCATCTGTACACTATCACACCACAACCCATCCCATCCCATCCCATCCCATCCCATATCCACCTCTCGGTCGAACCGGAACAATGTGTTCTTGGTAGAGTACCGTATCTTACCACAACCCAACCCATCCCATCCCATCCCATACTAACCTCTCGGTTGAACCGGAACAACGTCTTCTTGGTGGAGTACGGATCTCCGTAGAGGGCCACCCGCTGGTCCTGAAACGCCGCTAACAGATTCCGTAGACCCTGGAGTGGTGAGGAAGATGGAACGGTAAGGTAATAGCGTACGGTACGGAAATAGCGTATTGTGCGGTTACTGGACTACGCGGAATGGCACGACCCAAACAGAACACGACAAAAAGTTCCCGATAAATACAAGAATGAAGAGAGGGCATCAAAAACAGACAGACGCACCGTCATGTCGTCCAACCTACCTCGCGGCTGCTTCGCCTGGGGGGAGGGTCAAAGACTAGAGGGTCTGCTTTGCGTTTTTTATCCGGCTACAACGGAAGACTGGAGAATTTTCATTGGACAGCAGTCTGTCAGCGCATTCGATGCAAACAACAAAGACACCCACGCGGCGCGCAAAACCGCAAAGAGCAATGCTTTCCGTATATTCAGTCCGTCAACGCGGCCGATGCTGCTAAAGAAAAACCCGCACCCACCTCGAACTCCACAAGCTCTGCCTGCTCCGGATCCCTCGCTTGAGCACAGAAGATAACCTGTAGAAACGCCAAAAGGGGGGGGGGCAATAATACTCAAGAGAAACCCCGAACAGAGAAAAAAACCGAACAACAAATACAGAAACAAAATAAATGCAGGGGAAACATGAAGTTGGTGGCCTCGAATACTACTGTGCATACCAACACATCGCCCGCCCCGGCGAGAATCGTCACAACGATTTAGTCATCATCATCATCAACAACAACAGCAGCAGCAGCATACCTTGTCCACACCAGACACGGCATCGACGATGCTGCGGTAGTTCGTCAGGTCCCCCTGGGCGAAGGTGGCACCCGTTCCCAGAAGGTCCAGCGTGCTAGAGTACAAGTTTCGCACCAGCACCCTCACAGAAAACCCTTCACAACGACAAGGGGAGGTTTGGCGTAGGGTTGGGGTTGGGCATGACTGCTGTTAGCTACAACCAAGATGGTGCTTGGACGGGTGCATGGAACGGAGAAGAGAGAGGAACAAGTGGTGGGTCGGAGAAAGAATGGAGACATAACCTCCCACACACACGCGTGGCCCCGGGTTGCAGCTCCGCGTTCTAGCCAAAATAGTGAAACTCTCGATGAAACCGTCCTTGAGTCCGTTGTTCATGAAACCGTCAGATTTCGACGTGGTCGAGGCGGCTATGACGGCTGGTGTACGTGAACGTGATCACGAACGCCACCCGTGACTACAATCAAAACGATGAAACCCTTGATGAAACCGTTCTTGAAAAACAATTACTAAATAGAATGATGGTGTAGGGCGACGATCAACGGAGGTATAAAGCAATAAAAGCTGAGACCAAAGAGTAACTATGAACGGGAGAACACCACCTCACCTCTAAGGAGTAGTTTTCTCACTACCACCCTCCCCATCTCTCCCGTAGCCCCCACCACTAGCACCGTCGGCACCTGACCGCCAAAAAAGTACATTAGCACAGCACGAAAAAGAAAAGAGTGGGGGTGAATATTAGCACAACACGAAAGGAGACGAGAAAACCAGACATACAAACGTCGCATGGTTCAACTGTCAAAGATCACTAGGGAGCTAGGTTCCACGCGTCTATCCCTCGCACAGGAAACAAAAAACAACTATTTACAGTAGACGAAAGTGGTCGATCCGCTGCGGTTGGTGCGAGGGGAGCGACAAGGATGCGCAGCAAGGTCAAAACCGTAACTCACAGCGAACGTCCGGCTGTCTACGATAAAGCCGTTTCTCTCATAACCAGCAGCCACACGGAGACACGCAGGAGGGGGTCCCACTCCCCCCTCCTATGTGACCCCGGTTAGGTCATCTAGCTAGTAGAAGTGGAGGATGTGGGCCAGAGGGGCAGACGACAGAGTCCAATGATGGGAGAAAAAAAAAAAATTGTTGTCAAAGAAAATCTGATGTAACTCACAGAACATGGACGCACTTTCAAACAAGGCGTAGAAAGCTCAAAAAAGAGGAACACCCTTGGATCCCATCCCCTCGCCCTCTCGTTCCCTAGGCCCGTCGAACTATCGAGAACGGCCCTAGCCTCCGGAGTAAACACGCCTTGCGAACAACGGCCTCGAATTCCGTCGCCAACGCTTGAAAAATAATTCCCCCCTGTTTTCCTCTCCTGGTACCCCACTTGAAACGATGCCCCCCCCCTTCTCTCATAGCCGGCAAACCCGGCCCAACAGAAAAAACCTTGACGGCAACAGCAACGAAACAAAGCATCACCACGCCGCGCCGAATATCGGGTAATTTCTTTAGTAGCACAAGAGCTGTCGCACCTCTTCCTCGCTGTCGAACGGCGAGTATAGTCTCTTCTCGTACTCCTCGAGACTCCTGATCTTGACACCCTCCAGCTGGCAGAGATAGGACACGAGACATGATGCGGCGCCAAGTCGGAGGCAAACGAATTCAGAACATGAACCTTGCTCCAGCGTAGTGTTTCGCCAATCATTTCCTGTTGCAAACACTGATGTCATCAACATCATGTTGTGTTAGGTCGTCGTTTCATTCACCGCCCACCGCCCACCGCGATCGCGGTTTCCAGTTGTTTTGGCTACCTGGGAATACTCCATATAACCATCTGTGGGGACTCTCGATGCTACGTGGGTGTGTGGTGGGACGGTCAAGCAGGACCACGCCCTCTCTCCCATAGCATTAGAGCATACAGGGCCCGGGGGATAAATAACCTTTCTTCTGTGCTTCTGAAAAATATCCTGTCCGATTCCGAACATCGGTAGCCGCGCAGCCTCGCTTCCCTTGCAGAAGAGGTCGCGCAACAATAAACGTAGCAGCGCGTGTTGAGGACCTCCACCCTTGGGCTAGGTGAGTGGTACTGTAAGGTGTATGTGCGCGGCAGGGCCCCCAAAGACCCCAAAACAAAAAGACCGCCGAACAGCAGTGTACTGGTTAACTGTGTAGAGCGGCAGCGGCGGACGCATAATAAGGAAAGGCACCGGTTCTCAGAGAGAATGCGGGAGCATCGGCGAATTCTTAAACCTGTCACGCCAGGGAGAGAACGAGCGTGCCTTCGTGCCAGACTTCCACCACAATGCTAGTACAAGTCGACGGTTTCCTCTTTGTTTCCTCTCCTTTCAGGCTAAACACAAAAGTAAAATACAACTTCGTTCGTCACGTCACCCCAACCAACATCTACAAACAAGTGTATCGTACGAAAAAATGCAACCCTGGGTTGCCCACGCGTGGGGCGTGGTGTATTAAATGAGAGCCACTGCGCACCCTACCGCTAAAACTGAATCTCGTGACCGGGATAGCTATGAATACGCACGCAGGTTGCACAAGATACAGCACCCCTGTCAATACTCAGCGGCAAGAGCAGCGGTGACCGCGCCGAAAATGGCGGCGTCGGAAAAGCCTCGTCGAGAGCTTACCGAATACCCATCCCTTGCTTTTTTGGCACCCTATTCGCGGTGGAGTTTTCGACCTTGTCGTAAATCGGCCCAGGGGATGTGGAATCTTACGCAACCTACGGCCTTGTGCTCCGACGCCAAAAAGGTACAACAGCCCAGTTGATCGAAAGTTGATGAGTGCCTTCGTCAATCTCCAGACTGAAGATTGCATCAAGTTTCCTTGGATCAGTCCTTTCTCTTCTCAGGCTACCCATTTATCTGTACCACCACCCGCGTTCCCTTTGCCTCTTTACACACCAACGTGTTGATTAGAAACGGACGAACCGGCGGGGGGTCACACAAAAAACCAGCAGCAAGAAAATACAGGAGGAAGGCCAAACAACAACAGAGGACAAGACAGACAGGAATGAGGGTGGTTGTTTACACTAATCTGCTGTATGCTTGAGTTATCTCTCCACACCTACAATATAGACACTTCTTTTCTTGCTTCTTCTGCGGCTACTGTCTTTTTATAGATGTCTCGAGAGCGAGTCACCCGTCCGCTATTTCCTTCTTGACTGACAGCTGCACGAGGTCAAAACTTGTGTCCGCGGTCAAGGGTTCTCGCACCACAACAGCAGTCATCAGAATTTTTACGGTAGTATGTGTGGACGTTGACACAGCGGCCAGTTTCGCCGAGAGACGAGCGCCTCACAAGCAGACCACCGTTCGTTGTTCTCCCACTGGATTCCGCCCGTTCACTGCAATCGCCGACGATGCACTACTGAACAGCTGCAGCGCTTTGACACCGCCTAAAGGCTAAGGAGTAACTTATCGGAGAGTGCTCCGATCCGAGCTGCGCTGGAATCGGGTCAATGATTGACCGATTGTTCGTGCTTGGTATGTCCGGTGGTACCTCCTAGTGACCACCCTGAACATACGAAGCACGAACAATCCCAAGACAAGTACTGACCCGCGCCTCTAGTGCAGCTCGGATCGGAGCACTCTCCGAAAAATTACTCCGGGACGAAACGCTGCAGCTGTTCGGTAGTGCAGCTGGGGGCGATTGTAGTGAACGGGCTAGTCCAGTGGGAGAAGCAAGGTGGTCCGTTCGTGAGGCATCCACCTCTCGGAAAAAATCACAGGTCGGAGCGGCGATGCAAGACATCACACACACAAACACACACACTGTTACTGCTACGGTGTCTATCTTTAATCCAGAGAGTAGCGTAGACTCCCCCATGACGCTCGGTCACAGGGTCCCAGATTGCGGCCTGTAGAAGCATTTTGTGTTTTCAGCCGCACTGAGACTGACGTCTTTTCATTGGTCAGCCGGTTAGCGCGGTCGATGCTACAGTAGTAATATAATACAACACACACACACACATGGGGTCCCATCTAGTGGCATTTACAAGCGTTTTGTGTTTTCAACCGCACTGAGGCTGACGTCCTTTCATTGGTCAGCCGGTTATGTAGCGCGGTCAATGGAAACAATGAAGAACAGACGCACCCGCACACCCGGACCGAGCCTCGAATACACTCCACGGCGAAGAGGATGTGTAAACTACATACATACAGTACAATGATTAAATGAAGCGATGCGTTTTCGGAAAGTTCTCGGCGAGCGATTCCAACAATGCCACCATTTCTGCACCGCCACCCCCTCTCTCTACTGTGGAATGTTGTGAAAACCGGTCCGTGGGGTGTGACAGGTCATGCCACCTGTGCGGCGTTACAAAACACGGGATACTCTTACGATTTTTGTGAGGATGGGTACATAAAAAAGACGTAGAATACCAATATTTCAGCTCGTACTCAACGTCATTGGTATGGACTACATAGTACATGAACATGAACATGTCGCACAACTGAACATGGGCATGTTTTTCGGGGCAGCGCAACGTAAGCGGGTTGGCGGTACGTAGATACATGTACGTACGCATTCGTATTTTGTTCTCAAGCGCCTACAGCATGTTCGGATCGTATGTACCATCATGCGTGATGCATGCCACAATATTTGGTGTCTGTGTCAGCCGCGAAGCTTCCAAGTAGGACAAACCTCCATAGCAGCGGGATTCTCTCAAGTGCGGCCGTCGAAGACACGCTGTGATAAGCCGAGGTTTAACGTCGTGTATCGTGTTCGACGTATTGGCGTGCGCTCTACGCGAGAGAAGGCCACAGGATATTGTACCCTGCTGCTGGTTGCTGTGTACGATGAGTAAGCAAGGGTAAGCAAGCGCGTGACTCCAGAGCATAGAGACAGACGTGGATAGATACAATGGTATATCCTTGGTGTCATGTTACAACACACACCCTCCAATTCGGGTCGTTCCAAGAGCCTCGGCCGCAACAAACAACGGGAAGTCAACCATAACGCATGCAGCAGGCAGGCACTCACCGGGCTGGCCGTGCCCGTGATCTGCCCCAGCGTGTCCGCTAGCGTAGATCGTAAGTTCTGCCCGGCATCGAAAGCCTTTTTGAAAGGGTTCGCGATCTCGGGAAGCTTCAGCCCTATCCTCTCCACGTCGTCTTCTTCTGCTCCCGACCCTTCCTCGCTCATGCTACCGCTACCAAACCGCCGCCACTCTCCTTCCTCCTGTGGATCAGCTCCATCGTCGCTGCCGTCGCCGCCAGCTGCTGCACGCAGCGGGCCTGAGGGTGCTGCTGTACCGGGCGCAGCATGTTTTCGTCCGAAGGCGCGCTGTGCTGCTGCCGTAGTTCCTGCTGCTCCTACTCTACGCAGACCAGCGGGTGGGGAGGAGCTTTTCGCCACCGGTGATCCTGCTGTTACGGGCGGCGGTGCAAACGCGGACGCGCTCATGTCGTGGCCATGCTGTCGGCAGACGCAGAACAACGCGACTGCTTCTGCTACCCTCCGCATGCTGCTGCCAGCAGCGAGAAGCCTCGCCGTGCTGGCTTGCTGACTTCTGTCTCTCAACTCTCAACCGACAGGGTGCGTGTCTTGTGACCGGTTGACCGCACGTTGAACGACCAGCCAGTAGATTTACAGAACAATGAGTGGTGTCTTCCGAGCTTTGCAACGATGATGAGGTTGTAGTACTACCGATGACTATGTGTACCGATCGTACGCATAGCTCTGACACACACGCCAGCAAGCGTGCGAGCGTACGTCACGGGGGGCCCCGCTCAATGAGAGTAGGATGGCGGGTAGCATGTGAAAAAACAGAACCAGTCGTGTCACGGGACCCCCTGGGTTGCGGGTTCTTGCTTGGGCGGGATGGGAGGGTGAGACACTGCTGTCCACGACTCTCACCGCAGTCACGTCGTCAAGTTCCTTGTTTTCTTTCCGTTGGGATTTGTCCGACCTGGGCGCTTACGCGTACCGCTGTAACTGCTGTACGCTGCCACGTCTCCGGGCAATGTTTCCGCTTTCGCACCGTGCGGAGAGATCCAAAATATCCTGCAGCTGGATGGCTGGATGCGCCATTACATACATGAGGATGAAGCTGGCGGGGTTTCGTGCATGCATTCTAGCACGTGCCACCACGTCTTGTTTCGCGCGAAGCCCGTGGCTTGTTTCCTCTGTGGAGCGACTGCAGTGTATGGTTAGCCTGTATCACCGCATCAGTTGGTCAGTGGTGAATCTTTTCGTATTTCGTAACGGTTCGTTATGGATTTGCAACGACTACATATATATCAAAATGTAAACTATGCGGGAACGGCTGTGAAAGTCGTGCTACCTTGGTTTTCAGCGCCAACTCCATCCTCTCAGGCGAGTTTTTGCTAGTCTGAGCAACCTTGACCGCAGCAACACGCAAACCTACCGTCGGTGACGGCTGGAGACTGGAAAGAAAGGATACAATAACCCCCCCCCCTCTAGTCTACAAGCAAGCCCCCTATTATATGTAGAGAAAGCAGCCCCTCAATCTGCCGGACAGCGGAGGAGAGGCAGCACAGAGCAGAGGGGGCCCGGGAAGGGGAAGAGCGCAGCCGAGCGATAGCCAGGATGGCGTGAAGCACCTTCAATTGGACTCACTCGCGTACATGGCCTCTCCGCTTGGAAATACCCGTACCACAGTATATTGCTGTACTTCGTTCTCGAGCATGGGCTATCGATCCACGACGACACATGGAGAAAATGGCCAACGGCTTCTTATTCTATCGGTCGGTGTGTCTCCTTTTCATGAGCATCAATCAGTTAGTTTTCGCTGGACTCTACGTGTGGATGTCACGTGAGCTGCATTGGTGCGCTTCGTATTCCTCGCTTGCTTGCAGTCGCTTTCAACTATCACCAGTGATGGCGTTTTACGACACACCATCACCAACAAACAAACGTTCTTAGAGTCCCATATTTACTTGTGATCAAAGTATCTATCATGCGTGCATGTTGCTTATGGCGGAACGAAGGGGGCAGGGCACTTAAATAGAGGAGGGAGGGGCGACAGTACAGAATAGAGTAAAACATAGCAATCATCGTGTTTGTTGCGGGCCAGCGTGAGACCTCTGGCTTTGGTCGTACCTACGTAAGGTATGAACGGTAAGTACGTAGCCTTTTCATCTCCCATGACCCGCTACACTCAGCGGTGGTCCGTTACCCAAAACACGAGGATCAACTGTCTTCTGTAGGGAGTTTGCCACCAGGGAAGAGGTATCCCAACTATAGGTTGCACAATGGTGAAGATATACTGTAGTGCAATCTAATAACATGCATCCATCGTGAGTTTCACCAATATATACTTCAGTGTACGGTACAACGACAATATACTGAATCGTTCGTGAATCGTTCGCAATATAATAATAAGAACCATCTCCCCCACAGCAGTCGGGTTTGCACAAGCTTATTTACTGTTTTGGTATAACATCGGACCTTCTACTGATTGATGTCACGACGACGACGCCCTGCGCAGGGGCAACAAACCGAATCAGTAGCCGATGAGCTCATACATGGAGGGCGCTGACAGAGGCATTGGACCAACGCGATCGGCGCGTCTACGCTGTTCCGCTGGAAATGGGGGGCTGGAGCTGGGGCAGTTATTATCCCGACAGCGACCCGCCTCCTTCTTAGGAAACCGTCGTTGGCATATGTAGCTATCTAGGCTCACACTCGAACCAAAAAGAGACCGTGGCCCTTTGCACACGAAGAAAACCATTGCCTCAGTGCAACTACAGATAGATAGCGCCACCCGCACATAGTTAAGACCCTCTCTGGTTTTGGCCGAGGCTGCTGGTGTTCTTGAACGTTTGGGTCCCAAATGGCAGCTATAGGTTTCGGTGCAGGGTGGGGTCCTTCGTCGGGCTCACAAACGGTGCTCAAGTTTATGTTATGTTTGATATAATGTTGAGCATGAAGTTCTTAATCCAAGTTCTCAAGTGCGGGAATAGCTGTACAGACACTTACCTGTGAGGCCTCCCTATCGTTGGCCGGAAGCGTTAGTTTGTGAGAAGGATGCCCCCCCCTTTTGGAGGCTGAAGGAAGAAAGGTTATTCAGTGATCGCTTGCACGTTCGAGGAGAGAGACAATATCTGGAGGGTCTCATATCCCATTATATCAGTCAGAGCGAAAGCGAACCCAAGGCAGTTGCCAGGTGAGACCTTCGAATAATGGGGTCGGTCTCTCGGAGTATTATTGTCGAAATTACTCTCTTGGTTGCCATCAGTGTTAATTGTTGTACATACATTTATAGTATTGTTTGTTTGGGTTCACTACAATGGGGGGTTCACTGCAATGGGCCGCCGCCGCACGCAATTGATTCCCGCGGCCCAGTCGTCGTCCGCTTCCTTCATATACCGCCATTGCACCACACAACGTCCATACACACATACATGGCGATGATCTGACTGAGTAGCAACGTGGCGATGCTGGTAAAAATATGGGTACTACTACTGCTGTACGCGGGCGGCGACTGAATGGGCCAGCAGGAACATCGACCGAGAACGCGGAGGCAGCGGCGGTCGGTCCGATCGCTGGGAACTACCTGGGGGGGTGGATGACCTTTGTATTTTCAGAGTGCTGCCATAAACAACACACCCATTGCTATCATCACACATAAAACACCACGCGCCAGCGTGCAGCGGCGTACCATGAAACGGGGCGAAACGCCCATGTTATCCATCCATGGATATCCACGGAACTTTATCGTCAGAGTACTTCAACACATCCCCTTCGACTGCGATTACCGTAAGGATACGCGAGAACGCACGGGGGAGTCAGCGTATTTCAATGCGGCGTGATTTCTCCACAACCAAGAGGGTACCACTGCCGACATGCAACGAAGGGTGGTTTTGGAGATATAACGCCGAGGGCTTTCCTGTGTGGTATCGGTTGTTGGTGTTCGCTACCCTCCTGGTTGGTGGAGCAATCAATCTCATCAATCAATCAAGCTTTGAAACGCGACACAAAAGCCCCCTGTGGCGTTCTCCGAATCCTTAGACCACGGTATATCTCGAGCGGGCACACGTCCCTCTGTGTTCGTCGACTATTTTCCTGCATATAGCAGTAGTTCGGTACTACTACTGCTGCTGCTGTAGATCACTTCAACGTTCGTACATAGGCATGTGCTCTCTTTTACATGAGAGTTCGTCCACCGAGCGGCCGAAACAAACTTCCTTGTGTATTATTATTTGTATCCTTCTCTGTTTTCTCCTTTATTTACAGCAGGGAGATTATGTATCTCGACAAAGACTAATCGAGACAGCCCTCCACTGCCTTACTGTAGTGTCGAAGCAAACAACACATCTCTCGGGTGTGGACTATAGTTGTGTGTCTGTGCTGTTGTGTGCTCGCCCGCTGGACTGCTCAGTGCTGCAGTGCTGCGACATACTGAATGCATACCGACTGCCGTCCACATAAATAATGCGGACCGCGGGCTCTTTTTGCGACGAACGAAGAAATCTTTTCTCACACATCCAAAAAAGAACACTCTTTTTACATTTATACACTTGAGACCAAACTGAAATCCATGGTCAGCAGATTCCAGCACAGCACAGCAGCAGCAAGCAGTCCGCCGCTGGTGCTCTGCCGCGTACCACAAACGCATACAACACGCCTCACTCTGGTTGATGCTGCTGCTGTGAACGCAACGAAACAGCAGAGAAAGAGAGAAAAGCGGTGTGTTTCCAGGCACACAGAGCAGTGTTTCGCAGAGAGGGAGTCGGGCTAGCCGCTAGCCGTCAACTTTTTTTTGCTCGTCACCCATCGCCCATCACCGCCTCCTGGACAAAAAAAAATTGAGCCGCACAACAAGCAGCAGGCCGTTTCCTCCATACGGAAACAGCCAGCCGCGAGTGGTTCGCGCTCCCACGCCGAGGACGCTAAGAGAGAGGGAGCTCGACAGGTCGAGGAACAGATGTGAGTGTGTGTGGCCAGCTTGTGTTCGGAATCGTGTGGTCTTGTTTACGCATGGCCGGCATCACGCGAAAAAGCAGCGATGGCGTGCAAGCTGCAGGGGTTGTGGTAGGGAAAACGGAAAAAGTTTTCTCATTCATACCTTGAACAACAACCGACCAGACAATTTTTGGTGGTGAAGCGCTGTGGGGCCATGCAGCCCGAGCTGCGTCAGGTCGCATGTGGTGTGCTGCGGTCCTCCCCGTCCCGCCAGCTTGCCCGGTAGCACCGCGTGCCGCATCACATCTTTCGAGGTTGGTTGTGTCGGGATTGTGCGTGTTCATTTTTTTCCGCTCAAGTCCGAACGAACAAACCCATGGGCGGTGCACTCTGCTACGGCGGTTGCTACTGCTCTAGGTATACCTTGCACGCAGTGCTGCCTGTAAAAAATGTCGCGCATGCGACTACATCCAGAGGCGAGAAGAGCAGCTCTGCAATCATCGCCACGGCCCGCATAAATCGCTCTCACTCACCCGAGAGTTCCATTCTGGGCACAGCACACCTTGGAAGCGAGCGGGACAATCGCAGTTGTTGTCCCAGACCAGCAGTCTTCACCAACCACAGCAGCAACAGCAGCAGTTGGCTGCAGCAAGCAGTCTTGGGCTGCAGATACAATGTCACCTCATGCTTCAAGTTGTACGATATGTACGAGGGGACGAGCGCCAAAACGCGGCTAGGTCCCCACAGCACCCAAGAGTAAGAGCTGGATCAGGCCCCTCTTATGTATCTCTTCCTAGATACCAATACAACATCTCTGCGGTATTGCCGTACACTCATTTCTTTGGTACATGTATTGCCGGATGCGCGTCATGCCAACACAACCATGGGAACATGGGAACCAAAAAAGCTAAATGACCCGCTCGCTCATGCACACCATCTAAGTTCCCTGTGACCGAATTGACCGAAAAAATGCCGAAAAAGAAAGGCCCGAACTCAGAGCCTTGTACGCTCTACGCAGCAAGTGTTAAAGGTGGACAAATGTGCGCGTTCGTCTATGTACACGTTCTCGTCTCCGCAAATCATTCGGGCCGTTCCTTTCTTCGGAAATTCAACTTATAAACACAATCGCGGTATGTAACATGTTCGTATGCAACCGAATTTGATTACCCCGAAATATTTAGTGTAGGTCGTGTATAATGTGCAGCCTTTATAAATAGGTGCGCGTGCATTGCGATGTGCGGCGGATAGGTGGAGCAACAATGGATGTCAGTAATGCGTTCGTGTGCAACGGCCCGACACACCACCACAACAGTGCTGGCGGTGCCTGCACTGACCACGTTCTTGTGTATGATGGCAGGGACCAACTTTATTTCAAAAATGCAAGAGTGAGTCAGTCCCCTCTTTTCCCGTTCGCGTCGGCCTGCTGTGTAGTGGATTGGTCCATACAGCAGTACGCACGAATCTCCACAGATGATATCATTATCATAGGACAACTGACATTTGTTCCTGCCTGGCGCGTGGGTTCGCTGGAAGGATTGGCGTCTCATGCCCTGTAGCGTGATGCCTGTCGTCGGGATTTATATCCTGCCGTAGGTCATTGGGAGAGCAGGAAACGTACCTGCGGTTGGTTGTTGTTTGCGGAGCCGAGGGTGTGCGAACCTGCGAAATACCGCCGCGGGTAACACAAGGCATCACACCCCCTGGACTGATTTTCAAAGACCGTTTTACTCTACACCAAAAAGAGTGACGATGCGGAAAATAACCGGGTTGGGAGCATCTCTCGTTGAGAGCTTGCCGAAACGTATCGTTTGATTTGTTGATCCTCTTCGTAATCGAGCTGTGAAAATCTGTGCAGGGGGGGTGCTATCTTACGTCACATTCGGTAACAGCGCCTGCAAGATATGACCCGTACCGTTTAACTCTCTCTTTCTATGTACTCCTCCTCGCAGCGCATCCTATGGATGCCTTGGAATCGGCTTTGGTTTCGTTTCAGCCAAGTCGATATTCCCTCTCCCTCACCTTTCCCTCCGTCTTGCTAACCCCCCCCCCACCCTCTCCCTCCGCCTTGTAGAACTCACCGCCCCGCCCGTCTCCCTCCAGTTACTGACCCCCCCCCCCTCCCCCTATCTGCCTCCCACTACTTGAGAAGATTGTGGTCCCTTCGGCGGTTTCCAGAAACGAACGCGGAGGAGGTTGCCGGCCTCCAGGGGCGGAAGCAGAACAAGCGATGCGAAGCAGGGGCCACACGACCCAGCGTGCCTTCCAGCCGGAGGCGAAAGACGTTGCGCGGAGGAGGAGAAGGAGAGCACTCCCGGGGGGGGGCGAGAAACGAACAGCTGTGGAAGCTAGAGATCAACGGCGATTCCGACCCGACGTCGCCGCCGGTAGAAGCGACACCGCCAGCGCCACGGCGACGCGGCGGCCTGCCCCCGCGATCGCCCGCCACTCCCTGAGAAATGTCTTCCTGGTTCTCTTCGCCGCCATACTCGCGGCGCCGCGGATCAATAGCCCGTCGAGCTCGACCGCGCGCTTGAAGGGGGGGGGGGGCTCCACGGTGCTGGCGAGGGGTGTACCCCTCGGGATGGGGGTGATGGCGGCGCCTTGCGCGGTGGCGGGGGGGGTAGGGGCGGAGGAGGTGACGGTTACGCCGGAAAGCGACGGGGAGGAGCTCTTGAGCCTCTTCGATTGCGAGGGCGGGGAGTTCAACGTGTCCTGGCTGGGCGAGGTGGCCGTTCCCGGGACGATTTACATCGGCCGCGGGACGACGGTGCGCATCTTCGGCGAGTCCGGCAACAGCAGCAGCGGTAGCAACGCCACCACGCCCAGTAGCGGGATCAGCAGTGCCGCCGCCGGCGACTCGAGTGCTGCTGCTGGAAGCAGCGGCAGTGCTAGCAGCACCACCAGCACCACCAGCAGCAGTAGCAGCAGTAGCACTGGCAGCAGCGTCGAGAGAGACCAGGAGTGGGTGGAAGCGCTGTCGAACAGACTGCCCCCGCTGCCGAACGGCCTGACCTCCGTCGCGATGGGAACGTTCGCGGCGGCTTCGGCAACGACTACTAGCAGCACCAGCGGTACGTCCTCGAGCGGCAACTCTTCCTCCACATTCCCCTCCAGTACGCAAGAGGGTGAGGAGGCCGAAACAACGGCACCGACGGGACCGCTCTTTTTCGTCGATGGCGGACAGCTCTTCCTCGACAGCCTAGCGGTCCGCGGTGGCTACACGTCCAACTCCACGGGCTCGTTCACCTACGCCGCCAGCACGGACGCCGCCGCCGACGGTACCAACAGCACAACCACCTCCGGCGTCAATGAAACCGCCATCGCTACCGTGGTGATCAGCGGAGGAGGCGTTCACGCCATCGACTCCAACGTGACCGTCACCGGGTGCGAGTTTGAGGAGAACTACGCCGACTACTGGGGCGGAGGAATCTTCGCGAACGGTTCGACCTTGGTCGTGCACGGGTCCGTGTTCCGCCGCTGTGAGGCCGGGGAGGTGCCGTTGCCGGGGGACGAGGACGTCGACGGGGCCGGCGGCGCGATCGGGGTGAGTGGGTGCGGCTGTTGATGGCAGGGTAGTACAGCAAGCGCCCGCGATAAAAGAAATTTTGAAATTCTCGAGTTCTTACATTTTGGAGAAAAATCGACAAAGAAACACATTCTTAGACGTGGATCCTACACTTTTTTCCATATGCGATATTGACCGTTGTCACGAAGCAAGAAATTGATCCTCGACCCCAAATGGACGTGTTCAACGCGGGCGCTAACTGCTGTGAAGACGAGAGGCAACCGTAGTTGACGCAAGATTCCGTACCCCCTGGACTGATTGATTTTCCAAGCTCGATTTCCCCGCAGCAGAAAAGAGCGGCGGTGCCGAAGATAGAACCGCCTCGTAGAGAGCTCTCCGAAAACGTAAATTGTCGTTGGACTTTTACATCTTCTTCGTCGTGGAGTAGTGGGAGCTGTGAACAACGATCGAGGGGGTGTGGCATCCTACGTAGTGTCACCTACGGTATGTTTGGGTGCAGCAGGTTCGTCGGAGGACGAAAGAGAAAAAAGTTGACTCAAACCTTGTATGATTATTTACAAGTGACAGACGTCAGAGAGGCAAGAGGGGCCCCGCGGGTCGTGTCCATCATACCAATACAATTTTCCCCGTAACCTCTGGAGGCCCCGCAGACAGCAGTGCTCTGCCGAGCACCCCAAACAGTACGGAAAAGTGGAAAAATAACTAGCAGAGAAGGGAGTCGAACACCCCGACATTTGGGATTTATGATTCCCCCGTTATTCGAACCACAGGACGAACAGCCCGCCAGCTTCATGACAACTTCCCTGTCCTCTGGCCCCTAAGACTCCAAGGAACACCAATATCACATGACCTTTTGTGGGGAGGGTTTACTGTCCCGTTTTTATCGTTTTTGTTTGTATTAGGCGGAGTTCACGGACGTGCTTGTCGACGGCTGCCTGTTCGAGAAGTGCTTCGCCAGCAAGAAGGGGGGCGGCATGCACCAGGGGATAGGGCAGATATCGGTGCTGGACTCGGTCTTCTACAACAACACGGCTGGGAGCACCAACATCGAAGACGGTGAGGTTGCAGGAGCGGGGGGGCGTACTTCTTCCTTGCATCCCTAAGCTGTTAGGCCTATGACCACGCGTCCTCGATAGGACAGAAGGAGCGTTGTTCACACAGGACCAGACTATCATATCATATCACCAAGCGCGAAGCGCCGTGAGGTATTCAGCGAGTCGCAAGTGGGGGGGGGGGACTACTTGCATGGTCGTTGGATATCGATCGTTTCAAAGATACTGCCGCCGCTAGAAAGGTCGTGGGTGCCATGTCCCAGTCCACCCAACCTTTCTCTCTCTCTCTAAGCACAGGCCACTGACTTCCCGGTTGTTCTTCCGCCGACCCGATCATCCTTCCCTGTCCTGTCCCTCCTCCGCCGGCCGCGTCGCTACCTGTCTGTCCGTCCGGCAACTAAAATCGTGTCCTTCGAATGTATTTCTTCTTCGCCAATGGCGTGACAACTTTACCCGATGATGTGACATTTCCTCACTCTGTACATACGGCAGCATCACATGGATATTGATATGAGTGAAATCGCGCAATATGGCATCATCATGTAGGATATTGATCATGAGAGTGAACCCGTTCATATGGCTCATGTAGGATATGTGTTGATCATGAGTGAAACCGTGTCTCGAACAATGATTTTTTATCACATGGTTGCCGTTTTTTTTTGTTGGTGGCCAGATGACGAGATCGGGGAGGGCGGCGCCATCTCCTTCACCGTGTGCAACACCTCTTTCGACGGCTTGGCGGCCTGCGGGGCCAACGACACCGTGTTCTTCAAGAACGACGTAGGGCGCAAGGTACGCCGAAACCGTCGTCTTCGGTATATGTACCGTAGGTTGCATAAGACATCACGCCCCCTGGACCGATTTTCAAAGCTCGATTACTCCACGACGAATAGGGTGCCGAAATCGAAATATTCGTTTTTGGGAAAGCTCTCGACGGGACGGTTCCAACGACGCCGTTTTCGGGCACCGTCGCTGTTTTTCCTGCCGAGATATCGAGCTTCGAAAAGTGGCTCAAGGGGTTGGGACGTCTTATGCAACCTACGGTATAGAAGCATATACCTTTTTCTTACAAAAGCGCAAGGAATTCATTCCTCTCTTGCACAGCTGAACGAGTCCGGGTTAGATTTTCTCTTTGTTCATAGTTTTGTCCTGATGATGACCAACTTGTATTCGAACACGGTTCGCCGACCAGCAGGTGTTTTTTGTTTGTTTGTTCCTGCCTGCCTGGGGTCTTTTGTTTATTTCGGGCAGGTGAAGAGGTCGCACGTGTATGGCGGACGAGTCTTTCTCGATACGATTGTGGGATTTGTGAAGTGGTCATTTCGGCGGCGTGTGTCTTACGAATGGTCGTAGATTCTCCATGCGGGCGAGAGACAGCGCCGTCTGTCGTGTGCAATGGAAATGCTGAAGTGTATGGGGCGCGTTAATATATGTGCTTATTTCCCGGGTACGAAGCACAGCCTTATGAGTTCGTGGTCGCTAAGTGTAGATTAGAACAAGACCACACGTTTTTTTGTCAGTATCGGAGGTCCTGTTTGCGGCCGGCGAGTTTGAAGCAAATACGGCCCCCGCACGCAAGGATAGTGATGATCCGCTTCTGGGTCATCCTTGAGCAGCGTACAACACAACACAGCCTTGGACCGGCGAAAACCCGGCATATCGCTCCGTTCCGGCGTCGTCGGGACGCGAGGTCAATGGTCTTGACCACTACAGCATGCGTTTACATGGGTACACCCCCCCCTCCTCGCGAGGACGGAGCGTGGTCAATGGTCTAACGACTAAGACATGCAAAAGATCCCCCCCCTCCTACGTCGTTGCACGGCTAATGAGTACACCCCCGGTTGCGATTTGCGGATCCCGATTATCTTCGTCCCAAACAAGGGGGGCGCCATTGTCATCGGCAGCGGTAGGAATTCTTCCTACGTCGAGCTCCACCGGTGCACGGTGGAGAAGAGCGAGAGCGGCCTGGAGATAGAGGACGACCCGCAGGGGGAGGGGGGCGCCGTGGCGGTAGCCTGGGGTATCACCCTGCTCGTGGCGGACAGCCTGCTTACGGACAACTACTGCGGCAAGAAGGTGAGCAACTGGTCTTTGTTGAGGGGGGGGTGTACTCATGTAAGCACGTGCCGCTGTCGTTAGACCGGTGACTGACCTCACATCCCTACAATGCCGGGACGGAGCACGCTGGGGGGGCGGCGGGTGTACTCGTGTTTTTTTGCGCGCCTTGGCGGTTCGACCACGCGTCCTCGAGAGGGCTGAGCATTTGCTCCCGCAGGACCGATCATCTGAGCTGGTCTTCGAGTGGGGAGGGTCGTATAGCGTTGTGGTGGTGGGGGTGGTGGCAGTGGGTACAAGTGCTGGTTGGCGGAGACGGTGTTTGCATGGGGCGTTGTTGTTTTTGCTGCTGCTGTTGCTTCCTTGGGGGGGGCTGCCGTCATTGCCAAATTAGCCAAAATAACGCTCAATTCAAGAGCATTACTGTTGCCTCAACCAGTTTTTTTTTTTTGCTACTCCTGTAGCCGTCCTACAATTAAGAAGGCAAATTTTTTTGACCGAACCGTCGCCCCCCCCCCCCTCCCAGGAAAACCAAAAGGACCCCCCCCCCCCCCCCATCTCAACCGATCCTGCAAGGGAGGGGTGGTAACACTGTCGTCCGGAGAAGGCTTTCCGGGTGATGCTGTCGACGAGCCCGGACCTGTTGTCATCCTCAGGAACTCCACCTTCACTGATAACTGGTATGTGTGGTAATACTGGTAGATACCGTAAACGTCGTAGTTCTCCCCCCCCCCATTACCTTTTCGGCCCGGAAGCATGGTTTCTTTGATTTAGCCCCGGGGTAGATCGTTTTCGACCAAAGGAAAAAAGATCCCCCCGGGTATTTCAATTTCTCCCCGGGGTTCCTGTTTTCCGACCGAGTTCCCCCCGCGGGGGATGCATTTTCCTTATTTTCTGAGTCGATTTTGTTGCATCGCGGAGCACAAAAAGCGTGATATGGGATGGAAATTTCATTTGCAGATCTGCGCTTCGAGCGAGATTTAGGTGTACCGTTTGTCGCTGGAAGACGGGCTCTTCCTCTTCTAGGAATCAATCGCGGGACGAGACAAACTCCCCCAGCTGCTGTCCTCCTTGCTGTCTTTTTTTCTCTTCTTCGCCTTCGTTTCTCTTCCGTTCCTCCTCCCTCTGGTTGTTGAAGGCTTGCTCGTAGACCTTATCCATCTCAGTTTCGCCA